GCTACCTTTACTTAAGGTTCTGGCTTTTTTAAGATTGTGTGTCATTCCAAATTTCTTATTTTTCATTAACTATTGGCTATCCCCAACTATTTAATCAAAAAGCATTCTTTGAACCTTCTCAGTACCAACAACCTTTTAAATCTTGATGACACCTACCCGTCTCAGTAAGGTTGCCTTCATTCCAGGATTTTGGGGAGGTGAAGTTGACACAGGCACCAGAGATGTTTTCCACATTAGCATTAAGATCTGTAGCTTCTCTTTGCAGTAAACAACCTCTTGAGAACGAGCTGCCCTTCCAGAATGTATTTTATACAAATTCAAAAATACCGTAGCATAACTGAGCCACTTCTATACTGTCCTTCAGTCCATGGAAAGCTGAGGAAGAGCATGCCAAATGCAAACCTCAAATTTCTGGCAGAACAACCAGAGCTCAGCTCCTTTATCAAGATCGTCTCTGTTGATAGCAGCATTTGGAAGTAGTCAGATGTCTGCTGCTCTCTTTATTCTTTAAGATACAAAACATTGTAGTTCAGGCATATAATACACACAAGGAAAAGCCAAATCTTAGGCTGCTCTAGTAATTCTTCTTTAATATTTTTTCCTAGACAGTGGATTCTTAAGCTGTCATTTCATCCCTGACCCCCAAGAGGTTGTGAACCCTTGTTACTGTGAAGGCAAATCTGCTTCTCTTGTCTTTCAGACTCCCCAGAAGGAGTCAGGGCGTATTCAGGTCCTGTATCCACAGACAACAGCTTGAAACCAGTGATCTAGTCAGATCTCGAGTCAGAATTGCTTCAAGGTCATTCCTATCTCTATACTATTTTGCATGGTTTTAAGATCTACATAAATATTGTAGTTGTAGTTTTTTTCACGAGTGTAATAGTTGAGATTTTATTGATATCACCCTGAACCTTCTGTGCTGCAAATTTAAACTATTTCTCAGATTCGCTTCGGCAGCCATATCAAGCTGCGGGTCATTGTTGTCTCTAATGTTTCACATATTGAAACTACCTTTGGGTCCATCAGTTTTTCGGCTTCTGTCCTTCATCTGCCCTTAGACTGACAAGCATGTTTCTTCAATCTTTTCTAGGCCTTCCCCCCACCCCCAACATTTTATTGTTCTCCTTACTCTCAATTTTTATCTAAATTTTTCTTTAAAATACATTGCTTCAAACTGGACATGCTAATCTAGATTAGGCCTTGCCAGTACTGTTCCATGTTTTATATAGTTTTTCCTTTGCAATAAATCTCAGATATGGTTTGTTGGGTTTTTGGGTTTTTTTCCTTATTGGTGTCAGATAGACTCATTAAGTGTATCAACACCACTGCCCTTGCAGCCTGTATTTTTTCCCCTGTACCTAATTAGTTATTTTCTTTTTTTGGTATTTGTCATTCAGCATAGCATGTCTTTCAAGTGAAGTATTTCACACTTGTCTTTGATGTCAGCTGCAGGTTTTACAGGTATGGGATGCTTTGCTCATGGCATAATCCATAGAAGTATTGAATAAAATAGTCCAGGCAGGCCATTTTATAATCTTATATAAGATCTTCTCCCAGTTTGATGGAAAGCCATTAATAATTGCTCTGTGAGAGTATAACCTTTTTTTAATTGGTAACCAGTTTTACATCTGCAGTCATAGGTAATCTACCGTGTTTTGAATCCATTGATGTAAGACAATCTTCTTATATAACTTCAGCTATTAAAGAGAAGGCTTTCTCCCTTCACAAACCATTATGATGTAAATGGTCATAAGCTTAACAAGCATTATTTTTCCAGTGTTGTATTCCTTGGAGCATGGCTAAAAAGCCTACGAAGTCCTAAAAGACAAACACTCGTTTATTCTTCTGTATCTGTACCCTCAGCAGCAGCAGTCTCTTTTATTGCAAATTCCCTTTTGAGCCCTTTAAGAAAAGGGCAATATTTTCTCCTTAATTATATGGGCAGTGTGCAGTGGAATTGCAGATTTTTTTTTTTTTTACATGCTGTATACAAACTCTACATTAATATGGTAGAAAGCTAATTTCATAGCTATTTCAGGCATCAGTACTCATCATCAGTGGACTGCTTCATTCATGTAGCATTTAGTATTATAAAATCTCCCCTTCACAAGATACTAATGTCTTATTAAATAAGAAACAGTATTCTGTCCGTGAATCTCAAAGCTCTTTATGAGTATTCAGTAACTTGGTTGTAACAGGATTACTTCAAGACTGATATTTTAAGAGCTTAAAATGACTTTGACTTAGAAATAATACTTAGGATTTTTTTCATCTACTCATGTTACATGCAACACCTACAGTCTCTATTACCTCTTACAATTGCAGGCGCTTTATTCTCTGATTACTTGGATCCTGCGGAGAGGCCAGTACAATCAGAGTGGGTCAGTCCAGCTTTATTGTTCCGCGTACCTGAGCTACCTTGGGTCTCCGTACACTGCACTGCACAGTACGGTGTAAACATACTTTAATTAGCTGTCTTTCTGGAATGCACAGCAAAGTCTGCTTATTTAACCAACCATTTTCAGGTGCACTGAAATTATGGATGTAGGTGGAATTGTACCTTTCCTTGCTAAAAGGTAGCATGAAATATCTACCTCCTAAATAAAACTGAAGGAGACGTAGGAGTCAGGGCACATTATATGGCATACCAGCTGAGCAGGATAAAAGCAAGCTGTCTTCTGCAGCTGCGTTTAGGAGTCCCAGCCAGGAAGAAAAGATTCTCTTTCACATATCCACTAGAAAGTAGAAATTGTTCAGAGCTTTGCGATGAGAATGACGCTGGACCAAATTCAACCCAGCTATAAGAAGTCTCCGCTTCCACGGGAAGCTGTGCTTGGCCCTGGGGCCCTATTCATTAGAATACTGTCCCTCTTTTACAAGCACCGAGCAAATAGAGTCCCAGAGACTGTGTCAATATAGTCGGAGGACAAGTAAACCACTGTATTGATTTTGACATAGCTTGGAAAATAACCTATTGAAATAGTGGCTTAATAAAAGCAGGCAGTTAAATTAGGGAAAGTGTAATTGCAGTGTCTGCCCAGTTTGGTTATCTGTGGAAGTAAATGCTAGTAACAGTCTAGAATACCTAAGCCAAACAACAAAAAAAGGGTTATAGTGGGAATTTGTATTTCATAAGAGGTCATTGGTGTATATTTCTCTCACTGTCTTGTATTCACAGAGCATCTGGGCATATGTTTTTCCACAATTGGGTCTTACCAGGTTTGAAGCTCCAGTGTTGGTCTGCAGGTGAACTGCTGTGTTTGTATAGGAACACTTGCTCTGTTCTTGGAATGGCTCTTCTACTACTTTCAATAACTTTTTTTTTTTCAGCATCTAAAAATAAATGAACTGGACTGTCTTCTAGGACAGTAGTCTTTCTGAGAAATGGCTGGGGAGATTATCTCCTTTGTCTGCTGAGATGATGTTGATAGGTTCTCAACTTGTGCCATTGTTCTCTGGGATGGACTGGGTAATCTCTCACTGTTCATGATCATCTCTCTGAATCAACAGAAATACAGGAATGAGATTGTATGCTGTAAGATTTCTTTGATTTTGTGTATGTGGTAACTTTTACCGGTGGTTTCATATCTTCACTGCTTCTGTTTTGTTCTCTGCCCCCCCCCTTTTTTTTTTCACCTTCCTGATACAGAGAAATTCTCATTGAGTCCTCAAGGGACGGGTTTTCACTTGAATAATATTTAATAAAAATTGGTGATATGTCCACCAGGGTGCAGTCTTTCCAAAAAAAAAAAAAGCCATGGTGGTCAGTAACTGTTCGGTGCACCTGTTCCTTGGAAACTAGATGAGTTTATTTGTCTCTCTTATTCTCATAAGATCATGCTATTCACTTCAGGAGAAATGGAGAAAAACTGTAAGATATGTGTATTAAAATGAGAATCTCAGTATCAAAAATTGTAAATATCCTGAATTTCTATGAAATGCTGATACATTTTATAAATTATTTATAAGAGTAAATGCAGCAGGTTTTGTTGGTTGGTTGGTTGTGGGGTTTTTTTAACGAGACTCAATAGCTGTAATCAGGAAATGAAGATGTGAATACCTAATTCTTTTAGAAATTAAAGGCCATTGGTGCTGCCTTTGATACCATCCACGTTAGTTAACGCCACTGCATTCAAGTTGAGGGAACAAGCTTTCCCAACTCTGGCAGGAGGAGGATGAAATAATTTCTGCTGGGGGAGACAGAATATGCACAAAGCCCTAGAAAACTTCATTTGCTTTCATTTTTTCCCCTTCTCTGTCCTCCTCCTTCCAGCTGCAGCCATCCCCAGGACTGCCAGAGAAGAATAGCACTCACTTTGACCCAGCGGAGGTAGTGGGCAGGGCGGAGGGCTGCAGGGCCAGAGGCTGCTGCTGCAGCTGGAGGACTCTCTGTGCGTGGCAGCAACTGGTTGGTTTCAGCGTGACTTAATGCCTTCGCAAACCAAGGGACAGCGCCCCGAACTAAAGCAGTATCTGCTTAAAATCACATGTCACTACACTAACATAAGATTTTGAGCTAGTCCTTCCTTATGTCATGTTACAAGAAGAGGTTGCTATGGCATTTCAGAATCTAATGTTTGTACTACAGTAAACTGATCTGAATTCAGTGTTGACTTCGCTTGGAGCAGGGTGTTGGGCCAGAGGCCCCCTGAGGTCCCTTCCCACCAGAAAGATTCTGTGACTATGCTCCCTTTGCATCTTACATTAACTGTTGCCTAAAATATTTATTTACTTCTCTATCTTGCGCAAACTTAAGCATTCTGGCAGTGATGCATACTCAAGGACCTCATGGTAATATTTTGTAGTAATCCTAGCACCCAGGGCAAGTGAAAAGTGGATGGGATTTCAAAGTGTCAACCTTTCCTCATCCCTTGAGGACCAACCTTGAGACCCAAGAGGAAAAAAAAATATCACGGAACATTGCAGGGAAGAAAGTAATAAAAGTTGTACCAAACTAAAAAACTTGAAATAACAGTATTTTATTTCTCCTCTTGTTCTAGGTTATGCATTAGATCCTTCTATAGATAACCCTGAAGTTGCTACCAAATATATTGGTTCTGTGGAAGAAGCTGAAAAAAATCAAGGTAAATAATTCAGAATCTCATGTAAATTACTTGCAACTGATGACGACTTCTGTTTCTTCTTCATTAAGAAATGGAGTAGGTATTGGCAAAGAAAGGAATCATGAGACTTACCCATGACCAAAGACACAATAAATTAAGATGTGTTGCAACTGTAATATGAAGAGGGAAGAGAGATATTGGGGGACCTTTGTTTTCTTGAAGTAGCAAATATTTCAGGCTGCCACTGTGTCAAATTTCAAATCAGGCTTTGTAATTGGTACCTAGCATGTGCAATGACACAAATAGAATTGATCTGTATATTTGAAACAGAGCTTTTTGGTCCTCTTAAATTCTGTCTTAGCTAAAATTGTCATGTCTGCATTAGGATACTTGTATGTGGGGCTTAATCGCCTTAACTGTGGTACTCAGTAGCAAACTGATCGCTCTGTATGCAACCTTTAGCATTCTGTTGGGAACTGCATGTTATCTCTGTTTAGCAGAGTTAAGCTGTTTGGGTTATTTGGAAAAGAAAAACCTTTGGAAGGTTGCCAAATGGTAAAGGCATAGCGTGCCACTGGGAGGATTGACTACCAGAGGCATGCGGTTTGTAATTAATACTTTGATACAAGATATTTAACACTCAAAGTGACTTATTTGCATTGGAAAACTCTACCTGTGTAAGCTCTATAGTTATGCTTTCCCTTGCGTGTCTTTTTCTAACATCTTATTCACGTGTGTGTACAAAGGTTCCTTATTT